CGAATGAAAATGACCAAAACTAATGAGCTATAGCCAATGAAATCATAAATTTTGGCCACTACAAAACAATAGGTCAAAATGACTGAAAATGACCAAAAATTATGGTTTATAGCTGACAAAATCGTAAGTTTTTGGTTTAATAAAATTATTTGCAAAGGGTTAAAATGAAAAAAAATGGTCAAAAATCAAGGGTTACATCTCATGAAATCTTTTATTTTGACTAATGTGAAAATATTTGACAACAGGTCAACTAAACATGACCAAAAAGCATGTGTTATAGTTTACAAAATCTTGAATCTTGGCCTCTGCAGAATTATTTACCATTGGTTAAAAATGACAAAGAGCGAAAAATTGTGGGTCATTGCTCAAAAAATTATGAATTTTGGTCTCCATGAACTTATATGCCAACAAGCCTAAACGACTTAAAATTCTCACAAATTGTGTGTTATAGCTCACGAAATCATCCAATTTGGCCTCTATGTAATTTTATACAAACCAGTCGAGATGACTAAAAATGGCCGCAAATCGTAAGTTATAGCTCACAAAATCGTGAACTTCGCTCTCTACATAATTGTTTATGAATGAGTCAAAATGGATAGAAATGGCCAAAAACCGTGGGCTATAACTCGTGAATTTATTAATTATGGTCTTTATGAAATTATTTTTAAAGGATCGAAACAACTAAAAATAGCTAAAAATCATGGGTTAGTGCTACTAAAATCGTAAAGTATGACTCCGCTAAATTATTTAACACTAGTTCGAAACGAGTAAAACGTCCAATATAATCATGGGTTATGATGAAAATGTAAAGTTTGGCCTCCGTGAAATTATTTGACAAGGATCGATATGACTAAAAATAGTCAAAAATCTTGGGTTATAGTTTGCAGAATCATTAATTTTGGCCACCCTAAATTATTTGACCATAGCTCGAAATGACACAAAATGGCTAAAAATCGTGGATTATAGCTCGTGAAATCATAAATTTTGGCCTCCATGAACATATATGCCATTGGGTTGAAATGACTAAAATTGGCTAAAACTTATGGGTTATATATATCTTATGAAATCGTGAATTGTGACCTCCGTAAAATTATTGCCAACAGCTCAAAATAACTAAAAATTACCAAAAAAAACATAGATTATATAGCTCATGAAATCATGAACTTCTCTCTCCACTAAATTTATTCTCCACGGAATTATGTGTCAATGGGTTGAACAAAAAAGTGTAATCATGGGAAGCTCACGAAAACTTATCCTCCGAAAAATTATTTAACAACAGGTCGAAATGACTAAAAATGACATAAATATTGGGCTATAGCCCATGAAATCATAAATTTTGCCCTACATGAAAGTATATGCTAATGGGTCGTAACAACTAAAAACTACCAAATATCGTGGGTTATAGCTCATGTAATTGAATATTTTGTCCTTCGTGAATATATTTACCGGTGTGTTTAAATGACAAAAAATAGTCAAAAATGTAGCCTAGCTCATGAAACTGTGAATTTTTATCTCAGTGTAGTAATTTTATAATATGTCAAAATGACTAAAAATGGGCAAAATTGATTACTATAACTCATGAATTTGCAAATTTTAGTCTCCATAAAATTATTTGCCATAAAAATGACTAAAAATAGCAAAAAAACATAGGTTATTGTCCATGAATTTATAAATTTTAGCCTCCACAAAATCTTTCGCTAATGGGTTGAAACAACTAAAAATGGCCAAAATTTGTGAGTTATAGCCTATGAAATCATAATTTTTTTCTTCGTGGAATTATGTGTTAATGGGTCAAATAAAAAAATGGCCAAAAATTGCGAGTTATAGATCATAATTGTGAATTTTGGCATCTCAAAACTATTTGCCAATGGGTCAAAACAACTAAAAATTGCCAATAATCATGTGTTATAGCTCATGAATCATACATTTTGTCCACCGAGAAAGTATTTGCCAATGAGTCAAAATGATTAAAAATGGCTAATAATAATGGGTCATGAAAACATAACTTTTGAACTCTATAAAATTATTTTTTAATGGGTCGAGAGGACTAAAATTTGCCAAAAAACTATGGGTTCTAGCTTAGAAAATCGTGAAGTTTAGCTTCTGCAAAATTATTTGCCAATGCGTCAAAATGACTAAAAATGGTTGAAAATCATGGGACATAACCCACAAAATTGTGAAGTTTGGCTTACATGAAATTATTTGACAATTAGCTTGAAATGACTAAAAATAACCAAAAAAATCATGAGTTATTGCTCCCAAAATCGTGTATTTTTGTCTCCACAAATTTTTTTGATAGTAGATCGAAATGACAAAAAATTTCAAAAATAATGGATTATAGCTCATAAAAGCATTAATTTTGTTACCGTGAAATTATTTGTCAATGAGTTAAGATGACTAAACATGACCAAAAATCTTGGGTTGTTGCTCAAGAAATCGTGAATTTTGGCATCCGTAAAGTTTTTTGCCAACGTGCTAAAACAACCAAAAATGGCAAAAAAAAACTTGGGATATAGCTTGTGAATAGTAAATTTTGTCTACCATAAAACTATTTATCAACAGATTAAGATAAATAAAAATGGCTAAAAGTTACGTATTCTAGCTCATGAAATTGTAAATTTTATCATCCACAAAACTATTAAACAATGAGTTAACTTGCCAAAAAGGAAAAAAATCATTAGTCATAGCTCACAAAATCATAAATTTTTCCACCATGAAACTATTTAGCAATTGACCAAAATGATTAAAAATTAAAAAAAAACATGGGTGATAGCTTATGAAATAGTAAAGTTTGATCTCTGCGGAATTATTTACCAAATTATAGAAATGAATAAAAAATGGGAAAATAATACATTGTAGCTCATGAATTCGTAAATTTTGAACTCAACAAATTTACTTGTCAACGAGTCAAAACAACTAAAATGACCAAAAGTTATGAGTTATAGCTTATGAAATCATAAATTTTGAACTCTTAGAACTTATTGGTCATAAGGTTAAAACAACAAAAAAATGGCAAAATATCATGGGTTGTAGCACACAAAGTTTTAAATTTTGGCCACAACAAAATTATTAGCTAATAGGTCAAAATGACTAAAAATGGCCAAAGCCCATGTGTTATAGCTCATGAAATCGTGAAATTTGGCCTTTGTAAAATTATTTCTCTATTGGTCGAAATGACTAAACATGGCAAAAAATCATTGGTTATAGTTGACAAAATCGAGAAGTTTGGCTTCAGCGAATTACTTGACAATACATCGAAATGACCAAAAATAGCCAAAAATTATAGGTTACAGCTCATGAAATCTTTAATTTTGGGCAACATGAAATTATTGGCAACGAGTTGAAATGTCTTAAAATGACCAAAACTTGTGGGTTATATATGGCCTACAAAATCATGAATTTTGTTCTTTGGAATTTATATGCCAAAGGGTCGAATAAAAAAAACAAAAAATTATGGGTCATAGCTCATAAAATCGTGAATTTTGATCGCCATGAAATTTTTTACCAATGAGTTGAAATAACTAAAAACCATAAAATATTATGAGTTCTAACTCATAAAATTGTGAATTTTATCCACCGTGAAACTATTTCCCAATGGGTTGAAACGATTAAAACTAGTTAATAATAGTGAATTATAACTCATGAAATCATGAATTTTAGCTACCACATATTTATTTACCAGTGGGTGAAAATGACTAAAAATGATAAAAATCATGGGTTATAGCTCACAAAATAGTAAATCTTGGCATACATGAAATGTAACACCACATCTAGTTATTCTTCACAAAATAGCACGTTGCGACTCTACATGAATAGCTAGAAGACATATGACCCAAATTAATACTGCAAGAAATTTTTTTATTATAGCCATTATTATTTTACGATAATCTAATATATAACTACAAATAAGGTTCTTTTTATTAAATAAAAAAAAAGAGGATGGTGCAACTCAAAATATCTAGAGGATTGAATGCTTAGCTCACCCAAGTAATTTTTTTACCATGAGGTATCCAGTTGAATCATCATGAGGAATTATGATGATCATGAGGTGTCCAAGGTGAATCATCATGATAAGGATAAAAAAAATATAAAACCAACCAAGGCCATGACTATATATAGGGGTCTCGGTTGGGCTAACTACTACACCAAACAAAAAAAAAGAAAAAAAGGTATATACATATAGAAGTGAAGCTCTAGTAGAGGAGGTACAAGAATTACAAAGAGGGTGAGGTTATCCAATATATTATGGTTATAAAATATGCAACATTTCCCTTCCTTTCATTTCTTTTGTCATTGACTTGTTATGATGATAGTTGAGCAAGCTCCTCTATTATACATTATCCTCCTTCAGTGCATGTCCATAATTCATTTTTTTCTATAAGATAATAGTCAAGTGAGATTATCTTGTATAATATACTTTCAATGCAAAACTTGTTTTCTCTTGTAGTTATTTGGAAATTGTACGTTATATTTTTAGATGCACGTTTTTCTGTTGAAACATGCCCATGCTTCAAAATTTTTGAATCAGTCATTGCAATCTACTCCTAATTAAGAATAATTATTCTATTGGTTTCACTTAGATATGAGTTGTCCGCATTTTCCTAATGTATGTATCATGTCTGACGTTTTATATCTGAGATTGATCCATGTTACTAATATATGTATCATGTGTGAGATTGGTACATGTTTTACTGATATATATATATATATGTGTGTGTGTGTGTGTGTGTGTGTGTGTATCATGCTTGGAAAATGTAGTATATATCCATATGTGTCATGTCTAGGATTTTGTGCTTGCATGTATGGTCATGCTTGGTCTTAGAACATGTCTATGTATGTAGATGAGTAATCAGCAATGTGGTGTACTTTCAAATAGAAACATATAACACGAGTGGAATAGTATACTCCATTATCACTATTCATTTAGGCATTGACAATGAGAGATAACAAGCACTAAGTTTGAAACATTATTCATTACATTCTTTGTTACATCAGTTGGGATTTGCATTTCTCATCAGAATACAAGCCAATATTGCTAACTAATTCAAAGCTACATGATTTGTTTTCTCACCAAGTACAAACACAAATATTACATCTAAAACAACTACAATGGAAGCAAAAAATACAACATGAGAATCTCTTTCTCCTCATTCGGATTTTCCCCTTCAATCTAAGATTTTCCCGCTTCAGTGATTTATTGTTCGTTTCCAACACATCTCTTTCTTCTTCTATCTGCTCAACCTTCTTTCTCACGCAATGAATCTCAACCTTCAATCTCTTATTTTCAGTCATAATCTTGTTCAACAAATCTTCTGCCCTACTATTAATCTCCCCATCATACCATTTGAAAAAATCATACTTTTTAAAGAAATCAGATGGATTAAAATAGTGGCAGCTGAAAAATCTCCTACCTGGGTTAAATTCTGTCCTTGATGTCAATAAAGAAGCTCTCATGTTGCATTTGCAGTGGACCTCCATAGATCTGGCGTGACTATGAGAAGAACCCATAGCAATTTCAGATGAAATGGAGACCTCAGATATTTCTCTACAATTGAGAGGGAAAATCAATGAAACAATAAGTTTCTATTCAATTCAAAGCACCAAAGTTTGTCACCCTCAATGATTCATCTTCATCTATCTTTAGATTTAGGGTTTTTATCAGGTTGAAAGAGGGGAGAAATAAAGAAGAGAACCAACAAACGGCTATTAAAAAAATTTGTTGAGGGGTTAAACCCTAGTTAAGGGTTGGGTTTTGATGGGAAACACGTGCAAGTCACGTGGCAATAATGGGGGCAAATTTGGTAGTTGGGTTATTAATTGAATAGATTTTGACCAAAAGTGGTACTTCGCAAAGCAGTACTACTTACAAGGTGGTTTCTATAAAAATAAAACTTACAAGGTGGTTTCCATATATTTTTTAAACTTATAAGGTAGTTTCCATGAAAATACCCTTTTAGTTATTTCGATTCATTAAAAAATAAATTCGCAGAGATCAAAATTTATGATTTCGTGAGCTATGACCCATGATTTTAGATCTTTTCTAGTCGTTTCGACTCATTGGAAAAAATTTTACCGTATTCAAAATTCACGATTTCATGAGCTATATGACCCATGATTTTTGGTCATTTTTAAGTTCATGATTTCATGGGCTTGTAACTGACAAATTTTTTTCATTTTTAGTCACTTCGACCCATTAACAAATAATTTAACGGAAGCTAAAATTCACGATTTTAAAACCTATAACTCATATGATTTTTGGCCATTTTTAATTGTTTCAACCAGTTGCCAAATAATTTGGTTGAGACTAAAGTTAAAGATATCATGAGATATAACCCACAACTTTTGGCCATTTTTTATTGTTTTGATCCGTTATTAAATAATTTCGTTGTGACTAAAATTCTCAACCCACGATTTTTTTTGTCATTTTAATACTTTCGAGCACTCTCGCTGTTTTCTCCTCAGGCAGGGCGCTCTTGTTCCTCGATAGAGCCCTCTACAACCCTAGGCATCCACACCGGGGGGGAAATGCTGTTCAGATCGACCCGGGTCGGATCTGTCTCGGTCTCGATCTGCTTTACGGCTGAAAAAAAGTCCTCCTCGCTACTGACGACCCATCCGAGCTCAAGGAATTTCAACTGGTAGATTTCGCGAGCGGATTCGAAGAGTTGGTAAATTTCGTTGCCGATTTCGATCGATAGAGCGCTGACGGCGACGAAGAAGTTGGGGTCACCGTCGGGATTTGTGCCGTCGTGGATTGAGGATTCGAGGTATTGCCTTGTTTGGGCGAAGCGTGGGGTGTTGATTAGGTTTGAGATGGAATCGAGTTCGATCGAGAGGGAGACTGCGTGGAGAGAGATGGAGATCGGGTCGCTGGGTGCTCCTAGGGTTTCCATTGGAATTGAGGAAGGGGATTGAGTCGGAGAAGAAGAAAGAGGGGGTTTTCGTTAGGGTTTTGATTTTGGGAGCGAAGGCATATTTATAGAGGGAGAAGGTAGGATCCTTGTGGGAAAAGGAATTCTCATGGGATGTATTTTGATTGAACTAGTTTATATGCACGTGCAATGCACGTGGTAAAATGTTAAAATATTTTTTCTTTTATATTTATTTTATTATTTTAAATAAGTTAGATTCATCTTGAGTTTCAAATATATAAAATTGAATTATTAGATTTATTTGTATTTTATTGGAATATATTAATATTAATAAAAATAAATGTATTGGTTTTTTAAGATAAACTGGAATGAATATACCTAACTGGGATATTGTAATTGTCGTTATAAACTATAGTTATAGCAATAATATTTTCTTACATTAAACATGAGACCTAACACATAGGTGTATTATACTTTTCTAAATGTATAATGCGTTAAACGTGGTCTTGGTATATATTAGGGGAAAAAATAGTAAAGAAATTTCCGGATATCAAAGTAAGGGGGGAGAAATAAAATAAAATGCTAAACTAAGAAATAGTTCATCACAATAATACCAAAGATAATATTGAACACATTGGTAAGTTGATGAAGGGACTACTAATATATCATAAATGCAGGATCATAAAACTTATTAAGATAAAATTCAGTAGTTGTGAGCATATATAAAAACCCTAAAAGGGAAAAAAAACGTTACAAAAATCAATAGGAAGAATGCAAATAGGTGCTATTTATAGAACTAAACTTCACTGAACAATCTCCAACAAAAAATGAACAAATTTCCAAAGAATAATATGCAACATAATTATCTCTATCTAAGCATACCGATCAAGTTGCCTTAACCACATAACACCGAATCAATCCTATTCTATCCCCAATTTAAAAAACCTTTAAGAATTCACACAAAGAAAAAATCCACAAATTTTACCCAGCAGCACTAAATTTTAATAAACGAACTCCTAGCAAAAGTATTCAAAATTATCTCAAGTTATATTAAATGATTAACAATATTCTAACCACAGCACACCAAAACAATCCAATCCTTCAAAGAAATGAATAAGATAATATTCAACACAATGGTAACTTGATGAAAGGACCACAAACATATTATAAATGCATGATCATATCCTTAGACAATAATTAATGATAAGAAACAGTTAAATATGAATGTGTAATTTTATGTGATGAAAGCAATCACATAAGCATACAAAAATAATAATAAGTTTGCATGAAAATCCCTTATAATATATTTTTTTACCAATTCATAATATGAATGTGTAATTTTATGTTCAACACCCCACAAGGTCCGTTTATCACATGTTTTTTAACCAATTCATAGAGGATCGGGTGTTTGGATGGGTATGAAATTTCTGTAGATACATACTTATCATACTGATCTGATAATATGATCTTGTGATCTCCAATAAGAATTATTAAGATATGTGCATATGGTAGACCTCTTTTTTGAAACTCAATCACGTGAACATGTGCGGCAACTTTTCCAAATATCTCCTTTTTAAAGAGTTGATCTTTCAAGTCTTGGAGCTTTGCTCGAAATATCCTTGAGGTCAGATCTGGCCTGTTATTATGGGTCTGACCTGGATATAGTTGCTCAGTGATCTCTTCCCATTCTGGATTACATATCATTGTTATAAAAAGATCTGGCTTTCCAAAGCGTTGTACTAATGACATTGCATCAAGGTATCTACGACACATATCTCTAGGACCACCTATGAATGATGATGGAAGCATTATTCTCTTGCCCACTTGGCATGCATTTGCTTCCCCTGCAGCTACACTGTCAACAATACCTTGGAATAACTCTGCTCTAATTTCTGTTTGTTTATTTCTAAATTAATTAAGTCTTGTTGTTTCAAGCTTTATGAACATATCAATAGCATATTGATGGAATAAATGACCAGCTGATGTAAGTAAAATAGATTGTCGAGAGTCTCTTATCTGGAGCTTATGATATAATAATCTCGGCATGAGACTTTTTCGAGTTTTGGTACCTTGACGCCTGTAAATTTGGACGTTAAGCTATGGTCATATATAATAATATTACTAAGAATTGTGAATTTAAATTTACCTTCACTTTCTCTGTTAAATATGTCTTCTGCAGATGCGAAGGTTGGTGGGACTATTGAAGTCGGTATTATAGTTCTTTGTTGATTGTCAGCTCTGATATCCCTTTTATCCATTTTTTTAATATTTTGATGTCATCCAACCTCTCCATTTGGAAAGAGTAAAGGATATTGCAGCGGATCATAACAGCCAAAATAGTGTTTCACTTGATGTCTTCCTCCTGAGTGTGCATGGACAACTATCTCTCTCAAATGGTGCATTGTCATTATTTCCTCCCAGATTGCAGCCACCTGATCTGCTGTTGGTGAGTTATAAACACATTGATCTAGTGCAACGTGACTATTTATTAGTATCTTAAATATTTCAAAAGATTGATAATCATTCAATTTGCGAAGAAACTTTGAATATGGGTTTTCTTTCAATATATCCATCAAGCTTAGTTGTGATTTCACTCATATTTGCATTGTCTAGTATTCCCAAACGGTTTTGCAACTCATTCTCTGTATTATAGAAGTAAAGCTGAAAGTATGAAGGCTTATTTTCCTTTAGAATTAGAGCAGTGAGATTATGATATATTTGGCCTTGTGCTCTAAATGTGAAAACTCCTTTTCTATTTGATGCTAGCTCTTTATCAAATCTGGCCCCAAATGATGTGAATGAGAAAATACTGTTATACATTCTGGTATGGTTTCGAAACTCAATTACCTCTGGTGATTGCATTGTATAAAGGACATATAATTTATTTGGAATATTCACATCTGCTAGGTGGATTTTACCGTTGTGACAGCAAAATATTGGAGGCACGTGTTCAAACTTTTTGGATCCACAAAAGACACAAGATTTTGGAGTGCGTAGCTTATATAGTAAAGAACATACTGGTTCATGAAGTATTTGTCCTAGCACAAAATATAAATATTTAATAATCTAATTTATAAATTTATATGGCCAATTTAATAAACTATAAAGTATATCTACACCTACCTTCAAGCTCATAGGCATGTAGTACGGCTCCACAAAATAGATCAACTTTACATTGTCGTTTGTCATTAATAGTATTACCAGCAAAGTCATTACTTTGTCGCTTTCTCTTATTATCCGCACTTGTCTGAATGTAATCTTTCTTCTGCTCATCACTCAACCGAGAATATTTGGTTTTTTAATTCTAGGGATTGGAGTGTTCTCTCCTGTTTAAAAAATGTTCATATGGTCTTATAAATACATACACATACACAAATATATATATAATAGTAGTTATGTTATCCAAAAACCAGAGATAAATTTCTACAAAGAAAAATCATATGTCATATTACCATTAATTTATGAATATATATGAGCAATGCAAATAGTTAGACTAAATAAAAGCATGCAAAGAAAAAAAGATGAAGGTATTTATTTTCTATTTCCATTTAATCAAAAAATATATATATATATATAATAAAAAAAAATCTAAATATAAAATATATAATAAAAAATCTAAATTAAAATAATATCAAACATGAAGATTTACCTTGATAGATGGGAGAACATGCAACAATCAAATCCTGAATCCTGTAAATTCTACATTGCAGTGTAAAACAAGTATCACCATGAAATCAAATATACAATATTTAATACAAAATAATAATAATCATGAAAATAAAAAGAAATATACACGTTGAAGGAGATGAAGTTACTATGAAAATTATGAAATTTCTTAGTTTATATATAGGCATGAGGTATTGCATGTGATAGGAAAATATTCATAATTAGAGTTTTATTAGGATTTAAATAGTGTTACAATTATTTAAACAGTAAATCTCACGGGTTTGTTGGGGATATTGTGTATAAAGTTTTCAAGAGTCTACAGATAAGAATCTTGTTAATAGTGTTATCTGCATAAAGTTTTTAAAGTTATTATAATTAAAGTATTATAATTAATCGGGTGTATAAAGTTTATTGGGGAGTATACAGATAAGAAATTTGTTGGAAGTGTTATCAATCGGATAGTTCAAACTTTTTTCAATTCACTGAAAGCAAGAAATTTGTGAAATTATGCCAAAACATAGACCAGGGATAAACAAACAAAAACAAATAAACTTATGAATAAAATATCCATACATGCATGGATGCATGAGAAGGAGCCCTCTCAAGTTAAGAGATATCAATAGTAGGAACCTGCAAATGCAGGCGGTAAGCATGAGATGGAGCCCTCTCAAGTTACATGGAGATACCAATAGTAGTTAGCTGACCTTGTTAAAGCTGTAGTGGAAGGTTGGTAGCTTTCTGGGTGAACTTTTTTTTACAACGTAATAAGGAACATTCCAGTTTGAGCTTGTGACAGAACATTGTTTTGTTCTTGCATCTTGTTTGCAATGCAATAGTTGGGGGGTGGGGGGATAGAAGGTTGCAGCTATTAGTTAGTAGGGTGGTATGAACTACAAAGCATATACATATATGTCTATGTTACTAAACAGTATGTCTAACAACCCCCGTACAAGACATTTAGTATAGTATTTATACCAACTCAACCCAGGAGAGCCTCTCTTCACCTCAGGCTCAAAACCCTAGCCCCCATCTCTCAAATCTCAAACCCTAGCTGGATTTGGTGCTTAGGAGGAGATCTGGAGAATTTTTTAGCGGGATTTTGGATTGGGAGTGTAGAGAATCAACCTCCTGCAGATCTAGGGCTTTCGTCAACACCCAAGGCGAGTAACTTCTCGCCCAACCCCCACCCCCTTTTGTTTTCATGTCAAGAATTGAGTTTTATTGGGTTTCATTGAGCCAAATTCGTATTTTGGATAGCTAATAGATCATTGTGACATAAAGTATGAATTTGGTTTTTAAAACTCACCAATGATTTTCTGTTTAAAGATCTAGATCTGAAAATATCTAAAAAGGAGTAAAAAAAACCTTGTTTTTATTGCTAACGATGGGTAAATCATGTTTATATATATATGGGATCTTTGTGACAAGTTTTAAAGGTTTAAATTCGCGATTTACTACTTCATGACACTTCCATAAGTTGGGTTTTTGTTTAAAAATCGTTGTTTTAGTTTTCAGCGGACAGAAAACCCAGATCTGGGTTCTGTCAGTCTCGCGGTCGACCGCATCGGTCGACCGCTGGGCGCGTAGAAGGTCAGAATGCACCTGACCTCTGCGCGGTCGACCGCGGCGGTCGACCGCGATGTCTTGGCGGTCGACCGACCCGGTCGACCGAGTATATCTCTGCTGAACAGTGAGGCTTGTGTCCGTATGCGGTCGACCGGGTCGGTCGACCGTCGCCCAGTTTCCTGCACTAATTGTTTTGCTGTATGTTTTTCAAGTGTTCGGGGGTTTTGCCTCGATTATAATACTAAATTTTATTTTTTGCCATACATCTGTGTATGATAGATGACTTGAGAGTACTAAGTTTATAATCACGCACTGAGGGACGTGTGTGATTTGCCTATATGTATTCTTTTCTCATATCTTATCGATATTCACTATTTGGTTCCAAGTATCAGGCAAAACTACATTATCTCAGTCCTCGTGTTGGACTATAATCCCTTAAAGTCCTCGTGTTGGACTATAATCCACCTCAGTCCTCGTGTTGGACTATAATCCATTTTAGCCCTCGCATTGGATATTTACCGCTTAAACCATTTGTTGACCAGTTATTAAGCTATGAGTATGTCACCTATTTGGTTATGACAGGACACAGTAGTTTATGTTCTGAGACGGATTTGTTTTCTCTTTATTATTGTTTCTGTATTAAACTTTGGGTTTGGTATTTAGGGATTTACAAATTTGAGATATAAGGTATATACATGAGGGTTTCCATGTTTGGATTATTTCGCTCGACGTACCTATGCTCGTGTTGTAAATTTCTAAATACTAAAACCCTCTATAGTAAGATCAATGCTTTTAGATCTCTTATATAATAACTGTATTTTCTTATACAACGAGCCATGTTCCCTTGGGGTTGGTTGTGATGTTACTCGCTAGCGCTTTGACGCTCGTTGTCCCTCCCCCTTTCAGGTAACTAGCCAGGAGCCCGGAGAGTCGCAGGTTGATGGCGAGGCATTTTAGCTTCAGCTGTTTACTTGGATATATTTTCTTTTGGAGTTCCACAGTAGACTTTTGTTTAGGTATTTTAGAGTCTTATTCTAGAAGTTGTAAAGGCGGTGTGCCTTATTTCCTCTTGTCGGACATTTGTATTTGAGACTTGTAAAGTATTCTAGTTTATTTACTCAGATCTTGACTATGTATTTCTGTATGTTGGATGATGAGATATTTATGTGATTATTATCATTCCATTAGTATGTCTTGTATTATCTTTTGCCTGTTTTGTACCCACACCAGTTGTTGACTCTACTAGACAGATGTTAATTGTGATGGTGAAATATGTTATTGCACGGTGTGGTGCATGGCAGGTTTGATATTCTTGGTTTCACCTTGGACTGCAGCCTTGTGTGAACCCAGGGGCGTCACAGTCGCCAAAGAGTATGTCTAAAGATTTTATTAATCTCGGTAATATGTGGATTAAAAAATCTGCAAATATATAGCCGTGTTATTGTGTCTTCTTGGAGAATGACTGTTTCTTAACTGTAACTTTGTTAGAGTATGACATTTGTTCCTGCCTGCAGATCACGGATATAAGGAAAGATGAATTTGGAGCTAAAGGACGTGGTAAATTAATTCTCTCAAACATACAGTACTTAATAGTGCTCCCCCCTTGTACATCCACCTTCCTATGGAAATCCACCTTCCTGTGGAAATCAAGGATGAAAGAAAGTATAATAGTTTTGGGCCCTTTTTGTTTAGCTACATGGTCTTATCACAGAATGCTTGCATGTATTATCGAGAGATTGAAACTTCTCATTCATTGGTCAAGATCAGCATCTTAAATTATTGAAGTTGCTAGTTAGTTTCCCCATTCATATAAGTTAGGGTAAATTAGTTCCCGTGGTAAGTTGTCATGAGGATTGTATAAAATATTACGTTAAACTCTTTAACTGAAAACTAATAGACTAATTTAGAGTGACTTATAAGACTAACTAATAATTGCATGATTAAACAGGCTAATTAAAACTATGAAAGATTTAAGCGGAACCAGGTGTGCACTACAGAAATTCCCACTATTATTATTGCCTTAAAGAAATAATTTTTCGTTAATTCTAAGATTAAATAAGCAAATATTTTGATAAATTGCAGAGTAAATTAGCGGTGTGTTATTTTTCCAAGTGCCAGAGCTCGAGGGGCTGAAGGCCCCTCTCTGTTGCATATTGTATCGCTCAATCGAAAGCTGGAGCATCCTCATGTTATTCCGTTATTGGTGACCATTAATTGATTCTTTTGCGTGACTGTTTTTGAAAAATTAAAAAATGATATGCAACCACGTGATTGAGTTTCAAAAACAATCATGAGTATGAATGTGTTGTAATCTATGCAAAAACAGAAACTGATTAAAAGCATGCATAGAAGAAAAAAAGAAGAGGAAAGGTATCTATTTTCTATTTCGGTTTAATCAAATAAAATATATAATCAAATATATCTAAATTAAATTAATATTAAACATGAAGATTTACCTTGATAGATGGGAGAACCTGCAACAATCAAATCTTTGATCCTCTACATTCTGCATGAAAATTGAAAAAATTTTAAAATAATTTAAAGTGCCATAAAAAGTAATTGTAGTGTAAAACAAATATCACCATTAAATCAAATACACAATATTTCTAAAGAATAATCATCATGAAAATAAAAAAGAAACATACATGTTGAAGGAGATAAAGTTACTATAAAAATTGTGTAATTTCTTGGTTTATATATAGGCATGAGGTATTGCATGTGATAGGATAATAGTCACAATTAGAGTTTTATTAGGATTAGGATTTGAATTAAAAAATACTTTCTAATCAATCGGATCTAGACAATGATAAAAAAGTCTCTTAGACAATTTAATCTATTTTTAAATTGTGTTACGGGTGCTTCAATTAATCGGGAGTCTACAGTAGAGTCTAGAGATAAGAATATTAAAGTATACATATAAAGTTGTTAAGAGTCTTGAGAAGTTATTACGTACGGGTGCTTCAAATGAGTTATTCGGGAATTTAATCAAATAAGAAATATAACCACCATAACAAACCCATAGAATAAATCATTAAATTAAATTTAAAAATTAGAATTTGATTATAGATAGGATAGTTCAAACTTTATAAGGGTATTTTTGTCTACAGAAAGATTTTCCCGAACTCGTGCTTTTAAAGGGAGTATGATTTAGAGGTAAGTTAGAATTCTAAGCGGAGTGGATTTGTATCAAAGTTCAAAAAACTAAGGATGCGATTTATAGTTTTAATTTAATTTTGAATTAAATTATGCTAGAAGATTGCTTTTCTTAGATATGATATCTTTTTTTCTTGGGTTTTCTTAGTCTCAGAATGTCATATATTTTAAACAAACCACACCAATCTATAATTCCTATTAAGCAAGTCTTATCATGTGAAAACCTATTTTCATGTGAAATAAAAGAGTTTAGTGGAAATTAAATTTGAAATAAAAGAGAACAAATTAAATTGAGAGAATACTTATCACATGATTTTCATGTGACATTTATATATATATATATATATAAATGAATAAAAGAGTTTAGTGGAAATAAGTACGTAGAACCTCATATTACATCATCTATTTTGATGAGTCATCCTCCGGTATGGAAGATGATGAGAAAATGGTCTCTGATAAATCGTGACTTGATGAATGAGTGATGTAGGATGTATAATGAGTAAATTCATAGAAAAGTTGGACCTTCACAAGTCAAATGCGGATACAGATGAATTATTGACTGGTCGTAGAGAAACAACCATATCTCCCAATCCGGAAGGCGGATTCTAACATATTATCTATGAAAATCATCTATCTCGACGAGACGGAATCAATCAGTTTGGCAGAATCTCACAATCTCATCAGTAACACCCGTTTCTAGTAGGATTTTAGAAACAATCAGCCTTTAGTTTATTTTTATTAATAAAATTAGAATCAATTTAGATTAGGAAACAAAATTAATTTTGATTTAATTGGGACTAATTTGTTTCCTTTATTATAAAGAGACTTTTAGGTAGTTTTAAATTATTTCTTTCTTGTAGGAATTCTGATCTTGTTAGGAGTAGACTTTCTTTTTCTATATAAGAAGCAATATTGTAAACATCATGGATCAGATCACTTTTATCAATAAAATTCTCTTTTATATTGCTTCGTGGATTTGAGATTGTCTCTTTGTGGATTTGAAGATTGTTCTTTCTGGATTCAGAGAACACCCTTTGGTGGATTCTAAGTTTTATCAAATTCACTCTGCGTTAATTGGTATCAGAGCCCTGTTTCTCCAATCTGATGACAGACGAAGAAGACTCTATTTTCCTAACTCAGATTAAGACTTGCATAGACCGACTTACGTTGGCAGTGGAGCATCTGAACTAGGGACGAGTTTGAGATCACGTTGATGGTCACCAAAGAAGAGATCCGACTCTGCTAGACAAATCCTACGTCGATGATCGTAGAGGCTATCGAAGAAAGGTAAACTATGATGTTGGAGGATTAAATATACCATCCTTCAATGAAAAGCTTCATGCTGATGATTTCCTTGATTGGATTGATGAAATGAATAGATATTTTGATTATGAGATAATTCTAGAATATTGAAAAGTTAAATTAGTGGTTTATAGACTTAAAGGAAAAACATATGCATGGTGGGATGAAGTATTGATAAATCGATACCATCAAGGAAAGGATCTGGTTCGAACGTGGGCAAAGATGAAGAAGTTATTGACAGCTCATTTCATTCCTACCTATTATTATATGTTCAATCGATATTCGAGTGTAGATTCTAACTATGATCATGCAGAGATTAAACAAGCCCCGTTTGTCTCTAAGCAATACCTTGGAGTTATGAAGAGGACTGGAGATGTAATAAAGAGAGAAGAACCACCTCAAAAGTGTTAGCCTCATGGTTATGAGCCTACTCCCTAATCTTGTTTTGATGATTACAAACAATTCCTAGTATTATGCGTCGAGTGTTTTCATTTGTTTTGTTAGGTAATCTACACAAACATTTTTGTCAGAGGTTGGATGGATTGCGCCATAACGATCATATAAAATGGAGGTTGGCAGAAATAGTGGAGTGAAGCCATTGCACATTCAAGTCTAATTCAAGATCAAACTTCATCCATGTTACCAAGATCGAGCGTCACGAAGATCATTGCTTGGTATATTTAGTTTTTAGGAGTTTATACCTTGTGTGTTGGTACATAAAGCTCATATATACACACATACACGTTTTGGGTTTTATAGATTTCAAGTTTATATAAATATGAAACAAATAGTTATTTTTATATACTTACATATTTTTCATATTTATTGTTTTTGTTTTTGGTTTAGCTATACAAATATGAAACAATAGATATATTCATATACATACTTATATGTTTCATATTTATCACTTTTGGCTTTGGTAAATAATGTGTTTAGCCACATATACATAAAAACTCAATACATATATATAAATATATTTTCATGTTTATATGTGCTTAAGATGATTTCATTAATCAACAAGTTTAAAATAAATAAAATCATGTTTATTTGCAAAAATATGTATTTATGGATTAAAGACTAAATTACACCATTTTATATATTTTCCTAAATCCTTTAATCCATTTAAAATGAATATGAAAGTTTGTTTGTCAAAACATGTGTTGTTAAGTTTTCATGTTTTTGGACTATTTTGCAAAAATAAAGAGTTTTCAAAATTAGGAGATGCAATTTGAAAAATTATTTTTGTAACATGTTCATTTTTATGTTTATAATCATTTCTCAAAGTTTTATATTTTTTGGAATTTATTTACTATTTTTAAGGCACTTCAAAACTCAGTTTTTAAACATGAACAATGCTTGTACATGTTTATAAGTCGACTTATGTACTGTAGCAAGTCGACTTATGAACTATTCTGGAAATTGTAAATTTTATCTGCTAAGTCGACTTATAATTTTTGCAAGTTGACTTATAAGTTGACTTATGAACTATTTTCCTGTTTGTTGTTTTTGTCTGCTGAGTCGACTTACAACTGAAACAAGTCGACTCATAAGACATAAGTCGACTTATAAGTCGACTTATGAACTAGTCGTTGCACGGTAACGGGTAGTTTCTAGTTTTTGTTTATTTTATTATTTTTATGGGTTTTTGGTGTTTTCTTGGGCTGGTTTCTTCCACCCTATATATACCCCTTTGTCATAACTATTTCTAATCACTAAGAATGTTTTTAAACAAGTTTTAAGGGTGTTTAAGTTTGGTTTAAGTTTGTTTTCAAGTTTGTGTTTTTGTGTGAAGAAGTTTTCACAAAGAGGAGGTTTACATTTTCGGTTTAAGGAATTCAACCTCATCCATTCATCTACATCTCTTTATGTTATTAGAGAAGTTTTCTAAATTCAATCTCTAGCTATTTATACGTTTGATTATTATTTCCATAAGCTAATTGAGTTTATATTTGATTTTACTCATTGAACACACACATAGCTTTTAGTATTTCACATTAAGTATAATTTGGGTTGTAGTGAGTGGTTCTTGAGTGTGAGTGTCACGTCTCGCTTCCCAAAATACCCGGGAATCGGAACGTGAACAAGCTCGCGACGTATTAGATTGAGAAGAAATATACACTACCATTTTTTTTCATCATTTCCTCTCAATCCAATACGCTAAGCGTCTAGAAATAAATACAATGCGAAATCACAGGTCCCCGATCACAATCAGCAAGAATATAATGAACAACACAGAATAAAATAATACATATCACAAATGAATATTCATCCCAGACATAATATTCGGGTCAACATGCCCTTATACAAAACTATCTGAATGAAATACTGGAGAATATAAAAATACACTGATCAAATGGAAATAAAAGGTAGTGCAAAAAAAAACTGAGGACCAATAACTAAACTTTAGCTTCTTCTTCTGCTCCATCCGCTAGGCACTCCTGCTGAGAATCCTCTGGCTCCTGATGATCTCCCAGCTGAACCTGTTCTTCCTCTAAGTTTGACGTACACCAGAGAAAATAGGTGTACGTCAGGGTGCATGGCACACGGTAAGACCCCACAAAACAAATAGAGCAAACGAAAACCCAATGCGAAAACGATATAACAACAGAAATGATAAAAAAACATGCAACGGGAAAAAATCAATCAAGTAACAAGACGATCATGCAGCTAGCGATCAGAAATCATCCAAATTACAAGGTCATACAACTAGATGGAATTAATACTTAAAAATCTACAACTCGAGACGTAGTACGTCGAGCGAAATAATCCAAATAAGGAAACCCTCATGTATATACCATATGTCTCAAATTGTAGATAATTAAATATTAACAGCGATCTATGTATGAAAAGAAACACAACTGGAATACATCTCACAAGAACTCATACTTAGCCAAGAAACGAGGTCATGTAACTAGCCATCTTATAACAGGTCACTGGTTCACATCTCACACAGAGTCAAAGTTCACATTATCGGATATCTGGTTAACAACCACATCTCACTAGTACCTCAGACCCGCCCCAGTGCAAAACGATTCACTGGTGCGT